CAGAGTGGTTTGAACGGCTGTTGTACTGCGATGTGGAAAGCAAATGGAAAAACTACCACATTATCACTTTTCCTGGATAGTCTCTTTCCAAAAACAGAAGATCACATTAAGTGGAGGAACTGTTTTGGAAGAGACTGTGGACCTGTCATCTGACAGATTACTGATCAATCAATCAATCAGAGGCCTTGCGACGAGCTGATCACCCGCCCAAGGAGTCCTATCTTATGTCTAAGATCTAGAAAAACTGAAGTGAACGGAGAAGTTCATGGAGGTAGGCCTAGGCCCAATGGGGCTGTAGTGCCAAGAAAAAAAAATCCCAACATCAGAAGGCATGACTACATTACCATGAATACTGCAGACCTATACAATAAAAATAAACCGCTTCTGCTAACAGACTCCAGGGTGGAGACTGCAGTATAATGAAATAATTATCGTCAATATATCGAGAATCATTAGAGTTAAGGCAAATTTTCAGCACTACAGTGTTATGCAGTGAAAACAGTCTAATAAGTAAACTTTATTTGACGTAAATTATTTTTAACTTATAACATTCCTGGTGCCGAGAACACAGAGAGGAAATCAATGTAGAGTTGTCTCTTGTACACTGAAATTTATACCGATGTCAAAAACAAGATGTTAAGGAAAAATCACTCAAATATTTATGTCACGTGTTTACGATTTCGGAATATGTGACGTAACGTTCCTTTAAAGAGTGGGAATACTGCCACCTAACACTGTACTAGACAACAGCCTATATGGTCAACATCAATTTCTGACCAGTGATTTGGGCCATATGTACATACATAGGCCTATATGGGGTACGTACTGTGCAACTGAACTAGACATAAGTAAGGTAAGATAAAGGCCGGGACATAGCTCAAGCGGTTGGTCGCTGGCTTCCCACCGCGGCGGCCCGGGTTCGATCCCGGGGTCTGGTCAAGTGGGATTTGTGGTGGACAAAATGGCTCTGGGGCAGGTTTCTCCGGGTACTTCGGTTTCCCCTGCCAAACTTCATTCCACCAATTGCTCCACAATCACCCTCACCTATCATCTGGGGCTGGTACAATAGGCCAGAAGTGACAGCAGTACAAGGAACTTAGTCCCACCCCACTAGCAATAAAAAAAAGGTAAAGTAAAAGGTAAAGTTGTCCCTGCGCTTAACAAATTAAGCACTACGCCATGAAGACGTATGGGGAAGTGGATGTATAGACCCACCCTTTCTTCATCTCGGCTTTACGTGCGGGGATGGAGCTCCTAATACCCATTAGATAGGAGGCTTGGTGGGCCCGAAAGCAGGTTTGGACGACATGCCTCCACCGGGACTCGAACTTCGACCCCTTGGACGTCCAGCCCGTAGCCAGTCGCTATACAGTCTGCGCTAACCAAGCTCTCTGAACTAGACATAAATATCTGCAATAAATCGTAACCTACCTGAAACGGAAGATATTCATAATGCATGTAAGGCACAGGTTTCACAGTCTTACACTTACCTTCTTTTGTGGTTGCGTAGGTGCTGTCAGGGTCAACCTGTGAAGAAGAAGAACTTATTAAAGATACTCTGGTACTAGAGTCATGTACAGCAGGCGTGACGTCGTTGTTTATTACACAGGAACCATTCGGAGAGAGAATTAATATCACAACCATTCAGCCACCGCAATGTACCATCACAATCAACCACACACTGCTAATTCTGCACCACACTACACGGCTACATCAAACACTAGGTTCTTGTACACGTCTTAAGTACGTCACAACATGTTTAATCCTTCTTGGGTCTGTGGCAAACATGTGCCCGTTCATTTAATATTAACCGGCTGTTTCTCATGCAGAATATCTTTTCCCGATTCGTTCTGATCCCAGCTTTCAGACGAAACATTAGCAGGCTGATATGTATATGTGTTTTCTTGTGAGCAGAGCCAAAATTGTAACTGTTACTTGGATGATACTCGCCCTTCAAAAAAAAAATCAAATTCACATCCTTACCGTCATAATTTCATGGTATCTTTAAATCTGACGACAATTAAGATTGATCACATATATGTAAACATCAAGCTTGGCGTAAATTTTAATTATAGACACAAATATGAACATCACACGCAAGCCACTTCAAAGAAAATTACTTCCCAGCAAGGAAAGCACTACAACGATTAGAAATGCGCGACGTATGTGAAGAACACGCATAAAAATTCCAGCAGTAGGTCACAAAAGCACCTCACCAGTCCGGTTCTCAGTGAAATGAAATAGTTCCAATTGTCTTACCGCCTCCCCCCACTGCGATGCTATGAGAGAAGATTACTAAAGAATGGAGCGACCGTGGCGTTATCTGCCGGCGCTTCACGTTCTTACCCGTTCTCTCTCTCTCTCTCTCTCTAATTAATACGATTTCTCTCTTTCTGCCTGGATTTTTTATTCCCATTCCTCGTTCTAACATAACATCTGTAAATACACGTGTACACTTGGTCGTCGACTTACGACCTATGCGACTTAACGACAGGCCACACTTACGACCACAAAAGAAATTAAAAATAAAAGATGATTGAAATGTAAAAGTTTTTAAAAATAAATTATAAAGATGATAAAAAGATTAGAAAGGTTAAAAAATACTGTTAATAATTATATGGCCGACATACGACCAGATCGACTTACGACTCGTCAGTCAGAAAGGAAGTCGGCCCTAAGTCGACGACCAAGTGTATATGACTTACATGCAAGAAGCATAAGATCGAAGAAAAGTCCCTGAACGGGGACTGTTGTTGAAATCAATCTTTTATAACGGAAGGTTACGTATGCGGAGGGACAATAAATATTATCGCGTTTCTAACAACTCAATTTTCAAAAAGTGCATAAAATGAAATTACGTTTGGGCACTCGTGTCTTGTCAGTCCAATTCTATCACTTCCGAAAATCAGACGAATTTTAATTTGGTGTGGTTGAAGTTCTGGACTAGTTCCATTGATTTGGCCCAACTGAGGAGGTTTTGCCTGAAAACGGAGACAGAATCCAGTCTCCGAAACGTTGTGTTTTCAATAAAAGCAGGACGACTGATAATGTCCAGAAACATAATATATGTAAGAATTCCTTCTTCACACTTACGTACAATACTAGGCCGCGCCATAGCTCAAGCGGTTAGTCACTGGCTTCCCACTGCGGCGGCCTGGGTTCGATCCCGGGTCTGGTCAAGTGGGATTTGTGGTGAACAAAGTGGCGCTGGGGCAGGTTTTCTCCGAGTACTTCTGTTTCCCCTGCCAATCTTCATTCCACCAATTGCTCCACAATCACCCTCACCTATCATCTGGGGCTGGTACAATAAGCCAGAAGTGGCCGCAGTACAAGAGACTTAGACTTAGAAAAAATACGTACAATACTAAACAGCTGCAAAGACATGAAACGAAATAAGCACTTCTGCTACCCTTCTGGGAAGATGGTGTAAAGCTCTAAACATGTATCCGGGTGAAACTTGTTTGAAATTCCGCTCGGCTTGATGGCTACCTTCCTTTCCTCTGTCTCACCGGGCGAAAACTGGGTTAGTTGAAACAAGCCACAACTACCTCCTTCTAAATCAGCATCAACTCTCCATTCATAATCTTCCCGCCCCTTTTGACATAAAAAAGTAAGGCAAACTTGTCCCTGCTGATCACCCGCCCAAGGAGTCCTACCGAATGTGTAAGATCTAGAAAAACCGAAGTGAACGGAGAAGTTCATGGAGGTAGGCCTAGGCCCACTAGGGCAGTAGTGCCAAGGAAAAAAAGAACTTGTCCCTGCGCTTAACTAATTAAGCACTATACCATGAAGGCGTATGGGGGAGTGGATGTATAGATCCACATTTTCTTGACCTCGGCATTAGTTGGAGGTGAGTGGTCAGCTTCACACCCCGGCCGCTTTACCCCAGGGAAAGAACCCCCGGTATCCATTGGCTAGGAGGTTGGGGGGACCCCAGAGCTGGTCTGCACGACGTGAAGAAGAGAAAATTCTTGCCCCTACCGGGACTCGAACTCCGACCCCTCGGTCGTCCAGCCTGTAGCCAGTCGCTATACCGACTACGCTAACCCGGCTCCCCATTCGACATATACAACTTAACCGATTGAAGCAGCGTTGTTATGTAACACCAATCGACCGATCTACTAATCCTGCCGTCGTCAAAGTGCGATTGTTCTATTTTACTTTTTTCTTCCTTCCTACATCCCTTACTTCCTTCCATTTTTGTGATTTCTCAAGTCATTTAAAAACAAAATGACATTACAAAATAGTGAAAGATTCAAGGAAATATATGACGTCATGACGGAACTTTGTGGTACACAGGAGCGTGAGAAATAAACCTTTATAAAAGATAGAGTTTCCCAGTGTTTAACTAACTAATTTAAAACATACACTTAAATATTATCATCCTATCTACCGTCTAAATTTCTCAACTTGTCTCTTTCCTTCTTCTAGGTTTTGCAACCCAAACTGTATATGCGTAAAAATAAAGGTAAAATCGCTTCTGTGCTCAATTAAGCATCACGCCATGAACACGTAAGGAAGAATGCATTCTCAGCTTCACGTCCCAGGGAAAGTGCCCCCACTGGATATCGATCCCAGAGCTGGTACGGGCGCTGTGACAGAAAGAAATATCTTACTCCTGCCGGTAAAGGAACCCAAATTGATAGGCTGCCCAGCATGTTGTATAATGCTAGCAAAAAGCATGAATTGACAGTAGGCCCAATAGCGAACAAACCTTACGTAAGAGGGGTGAAATAATAAAAATTGTAGATTACATAACGAGGAATATCACTGTTCATAGAGTTCGAGAAGTGATCATATTCTTAACGAAAGTTTAGTTATGAATGCTGAGGTGGGCCGAATCAGAGTAGCATGAACGAAAGAAACATATTAATTAAAAATAATGGTTAAAAAAGAAATCAACCTACTTCAGACACCAGTGAATAAAATGGTTGCCTACAGCACTGGGGCTGAAGCTCTTTACCTTTCTTTTCTCCACCAAGTCCAGACTGGCTGTGGGACCCACCCACTCCCATGTTCAGTGGATATGAGGGACTCGTTCCTGGCCATAAAGCGACCGGAACGCGTAGCTGATCAGCCATCTTCATCTACTGTAGAAGTTACGAATGTCATAGCCTTAATTAAGTACGCTCCAACTACGAGTACATTTTACCTACTTTTCTTCTGGGATTTGCCTGAAGCTGGTAACCCGGCCGAAATTCGAACCGGGTACCTCTTACTATAAGTCTGCTGTTACTGCTCGGTGCTGCACGGTCACGGGAAGGTTATAGCAGAAGCGGTATTCCGAACTGGCTACCTTGGCAGCGCCTCGGTTGTCCTTGAGAACATAAAACACGCCACGGACGGACAGACAACTGACATTCCAACTTGCACCCAAGCTCTATTGCCGTCCAAATTCCCTAGTTGGCTTTAGTCTGGGAAGCTTTATTTACCTTTCTAACAACTTCGTAATGTCCTGATGTGTCACGGTTGAAGAATCTTACATAATATAGAATGATCAAAATTTTCAAATGAAACACGATTTTGTCTGCAGACCTTTCGACGCCCATTTTCTTTCAGTCTTCAGTCTATGAACTGATGTTAAGGAAAATATAAACTAATGCAATTTAGTGATCGATTTCTATGGTATGTAAGATTTGAGGTTTTCACAGCGGTGACTATGAAGAAAGCCGTCTTCTTGGATGTGGCACCGTGTAGATAGTTCCTTAACCGACGTTTCGGAGGAACGTATCGCATCTATCTTCAGGGTAGAAGACAAGAAGAAATCCGCTGGTTCGCTCGTGGATTTCATCTTGTCTTCTACCCTGAAGATGTAGGCGATACGTTCCTCCGAAACGTCGGTTAAAATAATTTCTACACGACGCCACATACCAGAAGACGGTTTCCTTCGATTTACACGGTAATTTACATTAGTACTGATTCCCGTTACGTTAAATTTATCGTATATATTGTATATGTTTGGTATCGTCGTCGTGTTTGCTGTTTCCATGTACAAGGAAAGAATTCTGAACAAACTGTGTAGGTGTGTTCTATCTCAGCACCAAATTGCACAGTCCTAGTTACAACGGTTCGTTGGTTATTTCCTTCTAATCGGAATGTAATAACAGATTTCTAGTGTTACATTCTAAGCAAATACTTTAACTAAAGTTGGATATTTTTGTGTACATATATTTACCTCCCCCCTCGTTGGTCTCCACCTTACCGTGGTGAGGGTGTTTGAGTATGCCAAGGACCCTGAGAGCTATACCAGCGGTAGCGTAGCTACTGGCAGGGCCTCCCTTGCTGGACAGGTCAAAGGGTAGGCATCAGACGAAGAGAGACACCAAAAACTGATGCCGGAAGCAGCGTCATCAGCAGCGACTTGAAGCACAGAGCAAATGATGCTTGAGATGGTTCAAGTTCGTATAGCAACAGGCGTGACCAGAGTGGTTTGAACGGCTGTTGTACTGCGATGTGGAAAGCAAATGGAAAAACTACCACATTATCACTTTTCCTGGATAGTCTCTTTCCAAAAACAGAAGATCGCA